AGGCAGGCGCTTTGCCGCTGAGCTAAATCCCCAGCCCCGAATAAACATTTTTTAAATGGCAAAAACTTATTGAGGGTGTATAGGTAAGTTACCGTAGCCAACTGTGGCAAACCTCTTCCTGCGAGCTTGGATTTGTCCTTGGAAGTTGATTTATCCTGCATAAAAAACATGGAAAAAAAACTTGTTTATTCTCTTAATGCCAAAATTGATTCACTCAACCAAATTTTACAGTTTACTAGAAAGTCAAGCATACATTACCCCACTTGTCCAAAACTATATTCTACTATTCTTACTATTCTCAATGTTTGTCTTAGGATTCTTTTGTTTAGAGCAAGGTAAAAAAGAGAAATGATAGCAAGAATACTTATGAAAAGCTTTAAAAAGTGTACAGACCTTCCATGTATCCCACCTTCTGAGGATTCATCTGAACTTAATGTTCAGAGCTCACTCTGTTTTACTTCCACTTGTATTGTTAAAATTTCATGTTCATCCTTACTGAGACACCAAAAGGTCCATTTCCTAAGGTGACTGTGTGTGCAAAGTAATACGTCCTCCAACCCCTATAAATAACATTTGCATTTCTCAGCAGCGCCCCTCAGAGGGAAATGCTGCTCCCCTTGGCAGTGGACAGGATGTCATCCAGCTAAGAGGAAGCTCTGGTGACAGGGATAACAGAATGTGTGGATTGTGCAGCAGATGCAGGGAGCATTGCCTCCCCACTCACATCCCCCTTTCTGCCCTCCTTTGGGTTCTGCCGGGAGCCCCAAACATTCTCCTTTGCCAAGCACCTCACACTGTGCAGGATGCTGAGAAGACACTGTAAGAACGAGGCCTCTCCTCCTGGGTCCAGGCTTTCTCTCCTGGCATCCGTGTCATAGCCGCCCGCAGTCAGTGTCCTGCCCAAGGGCAGCCTCCCTCCCCAAGCTTCCCTGGCCTTCCCAGGGTGGCTTCCCACCAGTCTCCCTTCACCAGAGGGGGCTCCCTTCAGACTCAGCACTCTGCAGTGCTGTCCTCCTGGGCAACACCACAGCCAGGGTCCCTCCCAGCAGAGAGCAGAGCCCAAGCCTCTGCTAGGTCTGAGCCTGAGCAGGGAGCTGGCTTCTGTGTACTGCTCTGAGCGCTGTCCCTTGACCTAGAGAGCAGCTGCCCTGCATATCTGCGGTCCCTGCCTTTTTCAAAGCCAGCTGTGCTGTCCCAATGGCATCCGCCAGCCCCTGTAGGTGCTAAGCACTTGTACTGTGCTCCTCTGAAACGAGATGTGTAAAATACACACTAGACTTTGAAGACCATACAAAACACAAAGAGTACAAATTATTTCATCAGTAATTCTTTATATTAATTTGAGTGTATTTTATATTGTTCTAAGAAGTTTACATCAATGAGCTTCTTCAATATTCTAAAAACCATGGGCTAAGTGCTATTCTACTACTTCAATGCCTATTGCACAGAATGGTGTTCTTCCCGCTTACAGGAAGTACACGGTCCAGTGGATACTACTGAAAGACAAAGGATGGAACATGAGCCTCAAAGAGTGGCTGGGTCTCCACAGAGGAGGACAGCAAGGAGCTTACTGCAGACAGAGGGAGCCCCAAGAACTCAGGGCAGATGAATAGTGAGGCCTAAGTCCCCCGGTCACGGAGGGTGCGTCCTGGAGGCTCAGGGAGCCATTTCAGAATAGATACACCAAGTAACACTGGGAAGTAATGTGTACAGTGGAGAAAAGCAAAGCAGGGGAAAGGGAAGGAGGAGCAGAGAAATGCCAGGTGAGATGAGGAAGCAAGAGTGTTTCCGTAGTCATATTTTGGGACACGGATAAGGGGCGAGGGAGGACACGGAGCCAGACAGGAGGCTGCTACCGTGTCACGGAGGACATGGGCTTTGGGGCTGGACTGGCCTGGCCCGCAACAAACACCCACTGCAGTCCTTCTTGCAGCGACCTCAAAGCCCAGCTTGCTGGACACGGCCGCAGCTGACATGCATCCTAGCGTAAGTGGCACTCTGCTTGCCATGGCATGTCGTTCTTGGTGATAAATTACTGCTACCCTGTTTATCATGTAGGGACTCACAGAGTACTTTTCATAAGTGCTTCCAGCAGCAGTGAACAACACACAGGAGAAGCAAGTAGAACGAGCAGATTTTTAAAACAATCCAGAAAATGGGAGACACATTTCCAGATGGTACTGGAAGGTCACCGGGCCTTCCTCAGGCACAGTGCTAGACCCATGCTGCTCCCAAGCACTTGGGGACTCTCAGTGGAGGGGCCCTACCCTCATTTTGATTTTCAAAGCCCTCTTCAGTGAGCCCCAAACTATTCCACATCCCAACCTCTCTTCTCGTTCCTCTGTTGCCAGCTGAGTGGCTCACACTGCTTGGCGAAGTTATGAGATGGGATGTTCCGTCATCCTCTGGCCCTGAAGGCCAGGTGCACCTGTGGGCAGAGCTGCACCCCGCAGGGGAGTACTGACCCACATGCCCTTCGTGTGAGCAAGGGCAAGCCTTTGTTATGGCTAAGATCTCGAGGCCTGTGTGTTACATCAGCAAGTACTAACTGATCTACAGAGCCACCACCGCGCCCTCCGTATCTCCCTGGTAAAACCTGGTCCTTTCCTCAAAATGAGGAACAAAAAGTTTAGGTGGTCTTCCTTAACTCCAAATAAAAATTTAACAAACCAAAATTTATCAAAAATAAAGACAAACATTAATAAACATGCCTGGAGATCTCTTCAAACACAGTTTACAACTAGAAAAGCCACCCGCTTCAAGATCATCAAATGCTCTCATTTTCATACCGAGAATGTGAGGTGCAGTGACTCCTCAAATGTCACAGAGCCATTAGCAACGAAGCCTGAACACAACACAAGTTCTCACTGTGCTCCTCCCACATCCTCCCAACAGCTGCACGCCTCCTCCAATCCACCTTGGCAGGTGTTTTATCCATAACACACAAGTATTTCGTACACACTAGGAAACTACAGATACAGTGACTTTATTACCACAGATATTTCCTAAGATGTGTACCTCATAGAATACCTCCATCAGAATAGAATGAAGGGAAGCACAAAACTTAACATCAGAAAATCAGGAACATATTTTCAAGTTGCTGAACTACAAAATTAGTAAACAATATTATCATAAAAGCAATACAAGTGATGATATGTTGGTAAATTACCATAGACAACTGTGGTCGGGACTTTCCTGGTGCCTTGGATTTTTCTTTGCTGGATGGTTTATCCTGCATTAAAAATATATTAAAAAATGAAGCTTTTAGTAGTTAGTACCAAACATGATTCACTCAACTAAATTGTACAGCATGTGTCATCCAAAATAGTATACTACTTACTCTTGTATGACTGTGGACATAGACAATCCTATAAGCCACTAAGGCATCATTTGCCATGTCTATTCAATGGGAAACTGATCATAGTTACTCCTGGGAATTTATGTGAATCTCATTAACATCCAAAGCTTGCTCATCTCCACCTCCCTTTTCCATGACAAAAATTCATTTGTTTTCCTACTTCCTAAGGTGACTGTGTGCAAAGTAACGCACCCACCAACCACCATAAATAACATTTGTATTTCTCAGCAGCACCCCTCAGAGGAAAGTACTGCTCCCCTTGGCAGTGGACAGGATGTCATCCAGTTAAGAGGAAGCTCTGGCGACAGGGATAACAGAATGTGTGGATTGTGCAGCAGATGCAGGGAGCATTGCCTCCCCATTCACATCCCCCTTTCTGCCCTCCTTTGGGTTCTGCCAGGAGCCCCAAACATTCTCCTTTGCCAAGCACCTCACACTGTGCAGGATGCTGAGAAGACACTGTAAGAACGAGGCCTCTCCTCCTGGGTCCAGGCTTTCTCTCCTGGCATCCGTGTCATAGCCGCCCGCAGTCAGTGTCCTGCCCAAGGGCAGCCTCCCTCCCCAAGCCTCCCTGGCCTTCCCAGGGTGGCTTCCCACCAGTCTCCCCGCACCAGAGGGGGCTCCCTTCAGACTCAGCACTCTGTAGTGCTGTCCCCTGCCAACCAGGCCTGCAACTCCACAGCCAGAGTCCCTCCCAGCAGTGAGTGCTTCCCAAGCCTCTGCCAGGTCTGAGCCTGAGCTTGCAGGTGGGGGTGCGGTGGCTTCTGCGTGTGGCCCTGAGCACTATCCCTTGACCGGGACAGCGTGTATTTTATACATCTGCTGTCCCTGCCTTCTTCAAAGCCAGCTGTGCTGTGTAAACAGCACCTGCCAGCCCCTGCAGGTGCCGAGCATTGGACTGTGCTCTTCTGCAACATGTGTATGTAATTATTACATACAAACAGAGAATGGACGTTATGCCCCTGCGCTGGTTTGCAAGGCTTCCGTAACAATGCATCACAGGTTCAGCGCCGGAAACAACCTGAGATTTGTTTTCTCATGATCTGAAGCCCAAGTGTCAGCAGGGCTGGTCTCTTTTCAGACCTCTGCCCCGATCTGCTGGTAGTCCCCGTCTCCTTTTCTTGTCACCTTCCCTCTGCCATGACCTAATCTCTCTCTCTTCTATGGACTCAAGTCCCATTGGGTTAGAACCCACCACTATGACCTCAGTCTAAATTAATCACCTTATTAAAGACTATCTCCAAGCATAATCCCATTCTGAGTGCAGCACATGACAGGAGTGATACGACTTAATCCAAAACCCTGACTCAAATTTCATTGTGGAAGTTGCTGACGATTGGTAGAAGCCTCCTTGGACGTGGAATTGAGACACCTGAAAAAACTAACGCTCAGCAAGCTGAACGTGAAGAAGAGCTCTAGGGATCAAGAAAGAGCCCACAGAAAGAGCCCAAAGCAGACTATGGAGAAACAGAAGGTAACAATGAAGAGAAAAGACCAAAGCAGCCCTGAACACTCACCTGGCTTAGGGCTGCCAACCCCAGGAAGGCCCCCAGTTACTATACGTTTCCAGTGCAGTGTTGGGTGCTACTATGATAGTAGGCCCTCCACACGGCAAGCTACAGTGCTGTGGCCAGAAGCCCTGTTAGGAGGACGAGGTCTTCCTATTTGAGACTGAGCCGCTCCAGGGATCCAAAGTCACAGACCCCCTCCTCACCTCAGGGTCTCTGGGGACAACTGGCCATAGTGATGGGTAGGAGGTAGCCACATGAGACAGCTGTAGTCACAGGCTCTGAGACGTGTACACGGCAAAGA